TCTTCTGACAGAACACAGACTTGGAATTTGGAGAATTTTTAAGGGACATTTTTATTTCTCAGTACCTTACGACTTGAAGTCCTGTAAGCACTGCGTGCCTGCTGGAATGATGCCACAAGAAGGGGCTGGCATGTGATCAGGAAGAAATATTTTTGTAAGAGGACAGAACGATTTGAGGAATTTTCAGTGTTTGTTTTGGCTCAAATTCTTCAGGAAGCTTTGGCAGAAAAAGCAGGAGAGAAGGTGGTGGTTGGGGAACTTTCAGCTTCATTAGCAACATCTAATGTCTTGGCCAACATCAAAAAATATCCGATGGGAACTACAAAAGCCCCAGATAATGGATGGATCTGTGATGACTTCCAACTGATACCTCAAGAGTGGTCTGGAAAAGTGAGGCTAACAAAGAGCACTTCTGGTTATGTCAAAGTCTTGGTATGATAAAAAAGAGCAACAGTCTAGTAGAACTATGTGCAAAGCCTACCTCTGACTCCACAAGCACTGGAGTGGAGTGGAAAAGGTTAATCTTTTCAGGAGCATCTGTCCTGCTTCCCAAAAGATTTTGAGAACACACAAAATCTGTTACAGATGGCCTGTGAAAAGGCAGTACTTTCAGGGTATGTCTAAGTGCACACAGCAATACCAGGAATGAGGTCTACACCTGTACTGCAACGTCTGTAACTTGGAATAGGTTCTGCAATTGCTCTGTGCTGGGTTAAGTGTGAGCACAAGGGTGCAGCATTTGCCCTGTACTTCTTAACAGTGTGGCCACTATTCAAAACCAGAAGCTCTAGTAAGTTCAAACTCATGATGAGCATTTTTTACAGCACATTTGGCTGTGCTTAGCTCAGCCAAATAAGTTCCTGGAGGAATTTACATCAAAAACTCACTCACCTCCCCCACTTCTCCTACAGTGGAGAGTGCTCTTACTCTATTGCAAGGACTTCAAATGAAAGTATTAGGCAAAGCCATCAAGCATTCCCGGTAACTCCAAGTTCGACTGTGCTCTTCCCAGGGCTTCAAGCTGGACTATCAGCAAGCTCAGGCACTTGGGAGGTAAGATCAAGTTCACAAGCAGTATCTACCTGGAAATATAGTTTCCTATTTAGTATCTAGCCACAGGAGTCCCACTGCCTTCATGTTTTCTGGTCCCTTATCACAGTAGCACAGCTGTCCTGGCACAGAACTAAAAACATAACAGAACAAAGTAAGTACACAAAGGGTTTTTTTAATATTATTGTCTAGATTGCATCAATATTGTCCTTTTTTTTTTTTTTTTTTTTTTTTTAAGCTACGTACAAACCATGCTGAACACTGCCAGGGAGCAGCACTATTACACCAAATAACTACCCAGAAATAGGCAGAAGTGCTTATTAGAAGGGAAAGCCCTGTGGGAGACCCTTTATTCACCCTATGGATGAGAAAAGGGTGTCAAAAGCTAATGTCTGAATGTACACACTATGCTAGGTTGACACTTGGGACGACGGATCTCATCCAAGCATTTAAGTTCAGCAAAATTATATGCAACCCTCCTACCAGCCCATCTTATCTCCAGGTGTGAGCAGGCAGAATGAACAAGCAGGTTAGTATAGACAACACAGAGCCAGTATTTCATGTGGTGGGACCTACATAAAATACTATTTGCCATATACATGAAATACTATCTATTTCATGTATACCGTGAAGTTTTTCACATGTATGTATATCATATACATGAAATACTACCTTGTAACTGTCAAGACTGGGCTTCATATACATGAAATACTACCTATTTCATGTATACATGAAATACGACCTATTTCATGTATACATGAAATACTACCTATTTCATGTATATGAAACCCAGTCTTGGCAGCTACAAGTCAGAGTGATGCAAAGGAAACAGCAAATACTCTAACAGATGCTGCCTGGTGAGGACAGCACTGAAACCAGGAGAAATGCTGCGTCCATGAGCTTTAAAGTGCTCACAAAGGGGTAAAAGGTTTGAGGCAAAACAAAGGGCTAAGTGGATTCTAATGTAATAGGTCATCAGGAGGAGCCCTCGCTAAGACCTTGCTATTAGTTCAGTCTTGCACCTTTCCAGGCGCTCAGCTCTTTTTAGGGTGGCAGAGAAATAAACCCTGCAAAGGCACACAAGCATCTCCCCATTATTTAAGCAGTTTTGCTGCTTTCAGGCATGAATTTTGTCATAACATGATTTCATGGTGGCGAAAAAAAAAACAGATTTTTTTTCTAGTTCTCACTCTTACACAATGTCCTAATTATTAAGGAGATCTGGGTCTCGAATTCCTATCCTGACTCTGACCTTGAATGACCTTGGGTAAGTCTAGTTTCACTTCTCAGCTTGAGTTTTCCCATTTCACTGAAATACAAGTTTTGACATTTGTTTTCCTTAGTGTGTACTCTGAGTTTCACCTATGGATCACCCTGCTGTAGAAATCTCCTGCAGGAGAAATATGTAGGGGCAGAGGGATTTAAATATCTTTAAATACCTCACTATCTTTTTTCCTCACTCTGCCTGTGTAATAACTTCAGAAATTTGATGGACACACACTGTTCAAAACACGAATAATACAGGTTATTATCAAGTGCATAATAACAGGATGAAAATATTTCCTATTGAAAAAAAATAAAACAAGCTCATCTTTGTGAGAGTGGTATTTTGCATTCACAGTATTTCCTACATTTGCAGAGGAGACAATCAGCAAAACCCCCTCTGAAGGCTGCTAAGCAGGTGTTTTTGTGCACACTTTTGCCTATGTTAGCATGTGGTGAGGCTGAGATCCGCCTCCAAAATAATTTTGTTTCTGAACCCATTTTTGCAGCGGCCTGGGCACCACAACACGAAGGCCATTTGGCGGCTGTGCTGGGGGAGTTGCTTTTCTCCTGATGAGTGATGAGAACCGGGCAGCAAACAGCATTTCACACCACCAGCTGCAGCAGCGCCTTGTGGCTAAACGAAGCACGGGCTTGAACACATGCAGCAACAGAACTTGGAAGAAACTCAAAAAATTAAAGGAGATACTCCCAGGAAATTGCTTCTTAAGAGATCAAATGTTTCACTGCTAACTAATAATGAAAGCTAAGCTTTTGATATATTGAGGTACTGATAGAAATGCATCCTTTTTCAGAAGTAGCAGGTATAAGTGGGATGGCTTTTCCACAACTGACCTCCGTGTTAACAATTGATATCCAGTGGCAAGCACTTCGGCTTCATGTCTTCTCCATGATCAGTGTGGCAGATCAAACTAGTTTGTGCAAATCCTTTGCTTGACTGTTTTTCTGCTGCATGACGTTGATGACTATTTGACCTTTCCTTCAATTTTTCACACAGAGGAATGTGTAAAGGACAAAATTCTTCGTAAACACCCATGTAAAATATGAAAGTTCTTTAAGAGTTGTCCCTACCTTAGTCCTTACCCTTTAAGACGAGGGCTGTCATTAGAGCTCTGTCCCTGGATTGCCAGCAGCTCTGCAACAGGCCTCCACTCATTTGAAATAACTCGGAGTTACTGACCTTCAGAGCAGGCTGTTACACACAACCGTCTGTACGTGACCTGCCACTGTGAGAAGCCTTTGAAAATCAGATTTGCGTAGGAGGGAAACTCGGTGTTCTGCAGGCAATCTCCTTTGCTATTTAGCACAGCAGCACCTAGACTCTCGGACCGCACTCCTTTGTTTATACAATTATTATAATCACAATAATTGGAAATTAAATAAAGAAGGTACAGAACAGCCTCTTGAGTAATGTAAAAGTATAAAAGTAGAAAGAATTTAACTGGGAACGTGTCGATACAAAATCAATTTTAAGATGTAATTAAAGTGACTCAAAAGGGCAATGACTGCTATCCATTCTGTGTGATTTAGCATACCTACTGTCCTTAAGGCAAGAAAATGATATATACGAAACTCATATTTATCATGAATAAATCATACGAATTGCTAAGATAGCATGTTTAATTTTGAACTCAAACCTACAAAGCTGGAGGAAAGACTAAAAAATTCTGCTCAGCTGCCACTGCCATCAAGGATGTCTCAGAGGAATTGTATGCTGGAGACTGTGTTTCCTAGTATGTGCTGGACACAAGGGAGATCCATATGGATAATACAAAGGCAGGAAAGGTTATTAAACCCATTTAACAACCAGCACATAGAGAGATGAGGTGATTAGCCCAAGGACCTGCACGACCAAGAAGACAATTCAAATCTTCTGTGTCTGAGAGAAGTACAAAGTCTTACCAGATGCAAAGAAAAGAGCTCGAGCAGAAGGCTCATTTGGCAAGTCCTGCATAAAACAAATCACAGGCTGAAAATTCACGAGTGCAGTGTGCAGAATAAGGCAGCTAAGTGTACAGCGAACTGTGGTCTTGCACATGAACAACATATAGCAATGTTTAGTCAACAGCTAATTGACTGCTGCTCAATTAGCAGTTTGTAAGGTAGTTTGCTCCAGGGTTCTTTCAGGAGCTGAAGGGCAGCATCAGCCAAATGCACCCAATGGTCTGTACTTTGCATTTGGGTCAGATAGTGGTTATTTGTATTTAAAATTCTGGTGGTAAAGTTAAAAAGCAATAGTGCACAGCATGACACCCACTACCTCATGTTGCTGGGAAATGCTGGCTGACACAAGCACAGCTTCACCACCAGCACTACCTTCAGCTGCAACTTTCATTGTTGTATAGTATCATAACTGCATATTTCTCTTCAGTTTTTTCTTATCAAAGGTGTTTCTCACAAACTCTCTGTGCTCTTTCTTTCAGAAGCTGTAAGTCATTGCCAGTCAAAATGGTCCATGATTTCTCCTACAGCTTGACACATGAAAACGACCACCTTCATTTTTTTCAGATGGACTAGGCTATGTGTTTAAGAAACTGCAAATGAGACAAAAAAAAAAAAAAAAGAATGGAAGGGAAACACTCCAGTACAAGTGAAGAGGGAAAGAACTGTGTGCATACAGGGGAACATGGAGAAGCAGGGGCACAACAGGCATGGGAAAAGGTGCAGGGGACAAGGTTGGCTCTTCCCCTCTTGGATTCCTGTTGACTCCTGACGTTCCTTTTCCCCACTGGTGCCCTTCTGGTTTGCGTGTCCTCTGTCTTCCAAGCATACGGAGCAGGAGGTACTTTGGAGACACGTGCAGGCACACAAACTGCAGGATCAGGGCAAGCATGGGGTCTGTGGCATAACGTTGGGTGCAGCAGGAAAACTGAGGAAGGACTGTCAAGTTATTCATGGATAACTGGGGAGGAGAGGGACCTGGAGCCCTTGACAAGCAAAAGAGAAACGGGTGGAGCACATGGAGCAGCTAGACTCCATGTGCAGAAGAAGTCAGGTGCAGAAGAGGATACAAAATATAGAGGAAAGGGAGAAATGAAGATTGTTGCTCTGACGCAGGTAGCGTTGAAGAAGAAGGCGAGGAAGACCGTACAAGGCAGCATAAAATGTGTGAGGCAGACAGGAAAGGAAGGCAGAGCCGTGGCAGGATCCGTGATGTATTCCATACGTATCTGCACTGGGAAGGCACAGAGACACAAGTTTCCCGCTGATCTTAGGACTAACCATGGTTCCTCGCTCCATTGTTCCTTATGGGTCCTCTTCATGCGGAGAAACTGAGACAAATGTCCAGAGTTGGATCATGCAACACGGATGGACTCCTTAAATGAGGTGGGGAGCCACTCGAAGGCGCTTATGGAAGAAATACCCTGCAGCCATAGCAAAGACAAAAGAAAAAGAATGAAAGAACAAACGAAAGAAGGGAAGGACACCACATGCCCGGCCTTGGGCAGGCAACCTGCTATCAAAAACTGGTAGAATGAGCAGCAACGAACAGCTGCAAAACCTGTTTGGAGCATGTTTTGGGAGCATTTGTGACCATTAAAAAAAAAAAAAAAAAAAAAACAAACAGAAAAATAAGAAAGGATTATTCTTAATAATAAAAGCACAGCCTACCTGCCAGACCGGCCGGACACGCAGAGCAGGCCCCTTATCTTGATGGTTTCCTGGCAGTGACACCTCTGCGCTCGCTGCCTGCCTGGAAGTCACCGGGGCCTGGAGGAAAGAAAAAATAAAGAAGAAAATAAAAAAAAAAAAAGAAATAAAGAAAAAGGCGGCCGTTACCTCGAGCGCAGCCGCGGGGCCCGTCCGCCATGCGGGCAGCCGGCGGTCGCCATGTCGCGCCCCCCGGCGGGGCGGCCGCGCCGCC